TTCCTGACTAGCTGGAACTCACTAGGTAGACCAGGCTGGCCACGAACTCACAGAGATCCACCTGCCTCTGCCTCCTGAGTGCTAGGGTTAAAGGTGTGCACCACCACGCCCGGCTAATCTGTATTTTGAAGCTGCTATAAAAATTCCTTATATTGGTTAACTTATAAACAAAGAAATTTATTTCTTACAGTTCTGGGAGATGAGAAGTCCAAGATCAAGGTGCTGACAGATTCAGTGTCTTGTGAGGGTGCATTTATCATAAATGATTCTCTCTTACAGAATCTTGAGACAGTGGAAGGGGAGCCAGGGAGCTCTCTGAGGCCTCTTTCATAAAGACAGAGATCCCATTCGTGAGGGTGAAGCCATTTTATAATAGCATCGCATTGGGGATTAGGTCTCAATGTATGGCTTTTGGAAGGATACAGGTATAGACTGTAGCAGATGCTGTTGCTAATCTTCAGTCCTGTTTTTTTCTCTCCCACTTAAAGGTTTGGGACCTGCCCTCCTACTGGAGAGACTACCACATCATCTCCCTGGGGCGCATTGCTCTGGCTCTTAATGAGAGTGAATTGGAGCAGCTAAACCTCAGCTCCATAGACACTGTAGCATCCTTGGGCCAGCAGACAGAATGGACCCCAGGACAGGTGAGTAGATGTCCTTGGGTCTTTTAATGCAACTTATCTTAATTGCTTGTTTTTCTTTATATATCTGAACAGATCTACAGTATTTACGACGGCTTCTTTCATATCTGTGTGAATTCCATCATTGCTGTTATTTACATCTGTTTTTAAAAAAGATTTATTTTTATTCATATATATATATATATATATATATATATATATATATAGTGTGTGTGTGTGTGTGTGTGTGTGTGTGTGTGTGTACAATGTGTGTGCAGGTGCCCTTGGAGGGCAGAAGAGGGAGTTATAGCCAGTTGTGAACAGCCTGATATGGGAACCTGAACTTGGGTCCTCTGGAAGAGTAGCAAGTATTCTTACCTACTGAGCCACCTCTCCAGCCCCTCTCAGTGTGTTTCTACAGACTGATTTTTCTCCTAATTAAGGGTAATGCTTTTTTGCTTATTTGCAGACTGATAATCTTTTACTTGATCTGAGCCAAAAGGCAGAGAAGCAGCAGCATTTAGTAATTTTGACTGATTGATGGACATTATGAACTTTACATTGTTAAGTGCTTGATTTAGTTGTATTCCTTTAAAGAATATTAGGCTTTGCTCTGATCTACAGTTTAGTGGTTTCAATTAATTTTGATCCTTTTATTGCATTCTTTTGAACTTTATTAGGGCAGAGTGATCTTTATTCTGTGCTTAATGTACCTCCATTGCTGAGACAAGATTTTTCTAAGAACTCTGCCCAATTTCATTGTGTTTCAAGGTCTCTCCACTTGGGGTGGTGGGAGCGACTCTCTCCACCAACTCCATGTGAATGTTAAGCACTGCTCAGCCTGCTGCTTTCTTCTAGCTCTTACCTCTGTGCGGTTTCCTTCCTAATGTGTGCAAATTAAGACTCAGCACTTAAGCAGACACCTTTGCTGTCTTCTAGAACTCTTTCTATGCAATTTCCTCCTCTCATTCTTTGTCTCAGAAATGATAGGTGTCCTGGCCTTTCTGAAGTTTGTCTTCTCCCTCTTCTCTTAATATAATCATTGATAGAAAGATACAAATTGTCAGTTCTTTGAGGCTGCTCTTATGGGCGGAAAACATTCTAAGAGTTTTATTTCATTTCTTTGGGGGCACCTATGATATTTACACTAGCTTAGGACAGAACCTGGGCATAGAAATTGTATCTATAGAAGATGACTAGTACATATTTTTCTTTAAAAAACATGGTTAGACATGCATGTTTTATCACATAATAAATATTCATTGAATAAATGAGCGCTAAGACATTCTTCTCTTCCAAGGGTCAGGAGAAGTGGGTTGTTACCTGTTAAGTGTTGTGTTGTGAACTGGTAGGGAAGCTTGCTGGGCTTGTTTTTTTGACCTCGGATCTCTGTGTCCTCAACTCAGCTGGACTGCTGGGCTTGTTTGAATTCCCTTTCCTGCCCTATGGCCTAAAAGTCCCTGTTGACAGTAAACAAAGGCAGTTTTGGGGCTCCCCTTCCTTGATTTCCTTGTTTCATGACTGCTCTCACAGGCTCCCTGGTTGTTCAATATCCGAGTACAATTACTTCATATATTGTGTTCAGTTTTCTATTTGTTTATGGTGGGATGAAAACCTGCCTGGTTGTTAATCTCTCGTGGGCTAAAGAAGTTCTCCAGGAATTTTAATTGGTTTAATTGGGTGAGATGTTTAGGGCATCTAATTCACTGGACAGCTGGACTGCTGGGAAGGGCAGTTTTGAGTGCCTCTGTGTTAGATTCATTCTAGGGCAGCTACCCTCCTTTCCAGTGGTTGTTTTCAGCATTAGGTTTACACACTACCTAATTAGCAACCCCATCAAGACCTTTCTTTGCTTTGTTTAATTTCTTAGGAAGTCCCATCATTCACATACTTGTCCACCCCTGAACAGCCACTTCCATCTCGGGTAGAATATTTTGTTGACCATGACTGCTCCAGAGATTATGGAGCCCATCTCTCGATGACTATGTGATCTGAGAGCCAAGAAGGTATGTGGAAGATAGATCAAGGCCCCTCAAAGACAACTACATCTGAGATTCTGGAACCTGGAGATACAGTATGTTGCATTGTGGGGTAAAAGGGACTTTCCGCCTGTTATTCATTTAAAGATACTGAGGTGGAAAGATTTTCCTGGTGGCATCACTGTGATCACAAGGAGTCTTTTAAGAGGGAGGCAGGATGCCACACCTGTAGGAGATGACATGACAGAAAAGCAGGGAAACAGGTGACAGACTGTTGGTTTTGAAGATGGAGGAAGGGGCCATGAATCAAGGAATGAAGGTGACCACTGGGTGCTAGAAAAGCAGGAAGTTCCCTTAGAAGCTCCAGAAGGAGCACAGCTTCCAGATTCATGCTAGGACTGAAAACCTTCAGAATTATATTTGTTTGACCACCACAGATTGGAGGTCATTTGTTACAGCAAGAAGAAGCTAATGCAGAATAGTTCTCAAAAGGAAAGGTGGTGGTGATAAGCCCAGGGAGAACGGGTGCCTGCAGGCATAACAATGCATGCCCTCTACTCTCATGAGACTTTTGTAATTAGTGTTTCCGTGTCCCATAACTTTGAGTGGCAGCATGGTGTAAATTGTGCTCCACCTGGAGCGGCCAGTGTGGAGGTCCTGGGCATTCAGATCAAACATTTTTAACAATGTCAGGCACATAAAGATTAACACAACTTAGTTGTTGTGTTAGCTACTTTTCTCATTGCTATGACAAAATACCTAACAGGAAACATTTAAGGAAGGAAGGGTTTATACTGGCTCACAGTTCAGGGGGACATGTTCCATTATGGTGGGGAAGGCATGGCCACAGGGAGTGGAAGGTCACATTGCACCAGCAGTCAGGAAGCAAAGAGCTATAAACCCTTAAATCTCAAAAGGTTTGCCTCCCATGACTCAATTCCTCTAGCAAGGTTCTACTTCCTGAAAGTTCCCCAACCTTCACAAACAGCCCTACCAGTTGGGGACCAAGTGTTCACATCTGTGGGGGACATTTCACATTCAGACCACAATTGTTCTTATTCCTTTTACCATCGTCTTTGTCGTTATCCTCATAGTCACCTTCCTCCTCCTCAGTATCGCCATCACATTCCCTTTCTTTTTTAAAAAATTTTGTTTATTACTTTCATTTTATGTGTATGCACGTATTGCCTGCATGTAAGTAAGTGCACCCATGTCGTGCAATGCTTGCAGAGGACAGAAGAGGCTGTTGGATCCCCTGGGACTGGAGTTACGGACAGTTGTTAGCTGCCATGTAGGTGCTGGGATTTGAACCCGGGTCTTCTGCAAGAACAACCAGTGTTCTTAACCAGTGAGCCATCTCTCCAGCCCCCACATTCCCTTTCTATGAGTTAGATTAAATCCAACAATCTGAACTTCCTTCCATGTTAACATTCTATAATGTCGTCGTTCCATGACTCTAAAACTGGTTTTGACTAGTTGGGGAAGTGCCACATCACACTCCTGATATTAAAATGATTTTATTTGCAGCCTGGAAGAAACTGAAAAATAGATCCAACTTAGGAGCTAGAATATCTCTTTCCTCTTGTGCCAATTTTAATTCCTGTGGATGGCAGCAAGATTTATCAATATGTTTGAAGAGGATATGAAAACGTAACATTTGCATATATCATTTTCAGTCAGTTTTTCAACTTCGGCTCCCAATCAGACCTTTAAATGCATGTTTCTAGATTAATAGTCAGACCTGGAGGAACTACATTAACAGATAGTTCAGCTTAAAAACCAATATGAAGGGAAAAAACTATTATCGAAGCCAGAAGGATGAACAGGGAGATTGAAATCTTATAGCTACTCATTTTTCAGTGGTTAATATCACCTAAGAGTGTTGGTATTAATTGTCTTGAAATCATTACATTTACATTGGTCCAGTCATTCAAGGAAATATATTTTGACTTATCACCTTGCAGGCTGAGCTTGCATTTTCTGGGTTCCAGGGGCAAGGACAATTTAATACCACATCTTCAAAGTAATTTTATTTGAATTGTAATTTTATACTTTCCTTTTAAAATAGGCATTCATGATACTTGGGGAGCACAAATTGTTATGAGTCAACTAGTAAGACTGGATGATGAAGACTTAATATGAAAAACTCAGAAGCTAACTTGAATCTCCACTTTCTTCGACATAGCCAAACATCTCCACTGGCTAAGAGTATGAACCTTGGTGTCTCACTGTCTGGCTTTTCTTTTTTCTCATGTGTATGTGTGTGTATATGTATGTATACATGTGTGTGGGTGCACACGTGTGGGTGAGTTAACATGCATGTGTGTACATGGAGGCCCAAGGTTGATGTTGAGTGTCTTCCTTCATCTCTCTCCACCTTGTTCTTTAGTGCAGGGTCTAGAGCTCATTGAACCTAGAGTTCGTTGAGTCTAGCTAGCTGGCTTGCCCTAAGGATTTCCTGTCTCTGTCATCCTAGTGCTGGAATTACAGGCGGGCTGCTACACTGATGTGCATTTATGTAGGATCTGGGGATCAGAACTCTGGTCCTTATGCTTATATGGCCAGTGCTTTAATACTGAGCCGTCTCTCCAGCCTCTGTCTGGGTTTTCATCTTAGAATCATTAATTTCTAGCAGTGGAACATTGGCTTAGCTTCTTTGTCCCTCAGTTGGTCATCTGGGAAAGAGGGATAATATTAGTATTTGGCTAATAGGGCTGTGATGAGGAGTGTGGGTAAAGTTGTCCAAGTGGTGCAGCACACAGTGAGCACCTATTGTTTTAGGTGCCTTGCCATTGAGATAAAGACCTGTAAGCTGAAGTATGGTGTTGTGGAACTCCTCTGCAGTAGCTATGAGCTTTCTAACCATCAAGGGCAACTTGCCACTGATCACTGCAACTTCTGTTTGCAGTAACACAGAAATCTCTCTGAAGCCAGTCTGTGTTATTTTTTTAATTGCTATGGCAAAGTACCCAACTCAAGCAACTTAAAAGAGGGAAGTTTTATATCACTTGCAGTTTAAGAAGGTTCTGGCCATGGTCACTTGTCTCCATGTGCTTAGGCAGAACATCACGGTGGCAGGAATGTGGGTTAGAGGAGGTACTTCACCTCCCGTTGGACAGGAAGTTCAGAATAAGGGACCGAGGACCATGTAGCCTCTTCATTACACCCTTAGTAGCCTACTTCTCCAACTAAGCTCTATTTTCTAAGGTTTCTATAATCTTCCAAACTAGTGCCACCAGCTGGGGATTGAGTGTTCAACACATGAACACGTAGGAAACATTGCGTACTCAAGCCATAATGTAGCCCATCTTGTGAAGGCTTCAAAGCGATATTTCTTCAGAGAAGCATATTTTATCTATTACTTCTATGGATCTCTCACTCAGACATTCATTGATATACTCAGTTACTCATAAAATACTTACTAAAATTCTACTATGTGGCAGGTTTCATGCTAGGTACTTAGGGCACAATGATGAGCTAGGTGTGCCGTTGCCTTTGGGGAGTATACTGGTGATATAGACCAAAAGTAAGTAATTGAGGGGAAGTTAAAAAATAATGGTACTAAGTGATACAGAAGATGCAGAAGATGCTCATAGGATAGTGAGAAGGGCTGATGTTTGAGGAAAGGGAGTCCAGGGGGGATAGTCTTCTCTGAAGAAGTAGAAATTAAACAGACTTGAGGGATGGGAAGGCAGCAGCTGCATAGAAAATGGAATCCCACTGCCATGTTTATTTTTCAGTACTTCTATCATTATAATCATCATACTGTATGATGGGGATGAATGACATTAAAGGAAGGAGGGAAGATTGATTATACCCATGAGGGAGCTGTTTCTGCTTGGATGTCTTCTCACCTTTGCCCTCTGAGCTCTTGCAATCTTCATTGCCTGCTCCTGTGAACACCAAAGGATCCACACTTTATTATATGGCTCATTCCCAAGGGATTATTTAGATCTTCTCTCAGTTCTAGTGTAGGTAGATCAAATGAGTCAGCAAGCAGCACAAACTAGCTAGAGTGAGGGAAGCAATTTGTCGATGCTCATTATAGACAAGTTCAAGTTTAGAGTTCATGTACAACTGCGTTCAGGAAAGGTGATACTTTTGCTGGGAATCTAGCGCTCCCTAGTTTGAGAGGCTCTGCTTTCTTTTGTATTAGCTTCATTCAGAGGTGGCTCTCTCAGAGTGGTGGGTTCTAGAAGATTCTGTGAATATCCTTCCAAGGATCTCTGTGTGTATCCTTGCAAATGCAAGGAAAAAAAACTCTTAATTGCTCTAGAAGCTGAAGTTTTGATTAGTTCTTGCCGGATCACATGTATAATCTAGAGCCAAAGATGACTTGGTTGGACAGGACTAGGTCATTTAATTACCTGTAAATCCCTTGATGCTGTTAGCGCCAGCTGAACCACATGGGGGAAGAGTTGGGGGCAGTCATGGGCATTGGACAGCCACTCTGCTGCAATTGGAAGGGCTCCTACAATCAGATCCCTTAAATTAGAGTTCACTGGAGACACCCTTGTGTAATTTTTAGCACCAAGACATCTATATACTACTCTCTGGAACTAAAGAATGAGGGGCAAATGTATTTCTGTAAAAAAAAAGAGGAAAAAAAATCATTCTATCTGAGCTTTTCATGCAGAAATGATGTCTGAGTTGGACTAAACATAGGAAATGGCTGGATTCTAACAGTTCTGAGTGCAGAAGCACATTTCAGATGAAGGAACTGGTTTGAGCAAAGGCAGAGAGGCAAGAAACTGAAGGTTTTGTTGGAGAGTTGTGGAGACAGATGCTGAAATATTCAGACTTGATGAAACACAGAATGTGAAAGTCCAACTACCTGAAGGTCATAAGAGTTTCTGAATGAAAGAAACTGGCAATTAAAAAATTTTTCTTTACAGGCTAAATCAATTCTGAAGGCATTCCTAGAGGGTTCAGGCTACACTGTCCAGGATCTGAAGAGCTTTCATTTAGTAGGGCTTGGTGCCACCCTGTGTACTATGGACACCACTGAAATTTCACTTATAAAGATCTCAGAATTCAGGTAACCAAAATGCTAGTGTGCAAAATGGCAAATGTTTCATTGATTCACTCATCCATCCATCCTTCTATCCACCCATCCATCAATCATTCCATTCATCTATCTATCCACAAACTCCTCCATCATCCATCCATCCATCCATCCAGCCATCCATCCATTGATCCATCCATTCATTCATCAGCTATCCACCCACCCATGCATGCATGTATGCTTTCATCCATCCCACTGCCCATCTACCCATCTACCCATCTATGCATTCATGGACGCATATATCTGTCCACTCATTCATACATTGCCCACCCATTAACCCATCTATCCATTCACCATCCATCCATCTATCCATCCATCCATCCAGCCAGCCAGCCATCCATCCATTGATCCATCCATTCATTCATCAGCTATCCACCCACCCATGCATGCATGTATGCTTTCATCCATCCCACTGCCCATCTACCCATCTACCCATCTATGCATTCATGGACGCATATATCTGTCCACTCATTCATACATTGCCCACCCATTAACCCATCTATCCATTCACCATCCATCCATCTATCCATCCATCCATCCATCCTCCCTCTTACCCATCTCTGCGTTTTTCTACCCATCTACCTACCCATCTATCCATTCATCCATCCACTCATCTATCTAGTTGCTCTCAGCTTTGCCCTTTTCTAGGCTAAAATCAACAATGGGATTATTTGGATCTCATCTAGGTGCTGAGCCCATCTCTTTCTGCACACTGTTTTATGGCTAGAGTTCCCCAAGCTCACACTATCCCTTCTCTCTAACCAGGGTGGTAGTGGCCAGGATTGGGACCCTGTCCTGCAGTACCCCTGTCTTGGCTGAGTTTAAGAACAAGGCAGAAGCTGTGTTTGGACATCCCACTGAGTGGACCAGCTCTGTCTTGCAGGAACTTGGGACCATTGCAGGTAAGGGGCCTTATGAACATACTCTCTCCTTTTTTCAGATTTAAATATGGGATTAAAATAAAATACAACAGAACAAAAGAATAATCTTTGGCCACATGAAGAGGTTACAGTAGAACTTAGATTTTAGACTTAAGCTGCAGGGGACAGTGTCTGCAAGTCTGCTTTTAAAACAAGCTCTCTTGTGCACACTACAATCTGAAAAACACTGGTCTAGAATGTGATTTAATTGGCCCCTAAATAGATTTATACACAGTCTTAAAGTGTGTAAATTGAACCTCCTTCTGGGCATACACTCCACTGTAGGAGGCCAATCAGGGCTAATGTGACTCACATATTTTCCTGAGTTGATTAAGGAACTTAATTCCCTAGTGTGATTTTCCAGGCCTTTTGTAAGGAATGATGCTTTCCCAGGATGCACAGATCTGTGAATTATGCAGTACCATTAATAACACAAGTGGAATTCTGACGGCTTGAACTAAACCCTTGTGATTCCTTTCTCTCCCAGCTGGATTAACTAAGGCAGAGCTCCGAATGCTCGACAAGGAATTGATGCCATATTTCCAGCCGTCAGCCATAAGATGCCTTCCCAATGAGATATTCAAAGTAGGTGCTCAGTTCTTCAAGGAGAAATGGGAACTTGGTCTCATTTGAGATCATACGGGGAAACAGGTGACAGGCCCTGGCTTACCGGGGCTTCCGACTAGACTTTTACTGGTAGGGCCAAAGAAGATCTGCACGCCCACTATGGATGCTCACAAGATAATTTCTTTTTTGTTGTTGTTTAAAAATATTCCAAATTTTATTTTTATGTTCTAATTACTTTTATGACTACCTTCCCTTCATAGCCAATGATACTGACTTTCTATTTCTGGAGTTGTGACAGGTTCATAAACCCGTAAGCAAAAACCCTTGGGGACAGATGTATTTCAGAATTCAGAGGTTTTCAGGTTTTGAAAAGATTATTTATGTGAATTATGTGTACTCAAACACCTCTAGCAGTGTCTGAGGAAGCAATTGCAAACAAACACATTATTGTTTTGTGAAGAAACTTGTGATAAGTCACACTACTTGAAATAAATACACTATAACTAGCCTCCTATCAAACTCGAGTCAACTTCTGTTAGGTTGTATTAAGTTAGGGAAAAGAAAGTTTCAATCTTCAGAGTACTTGGACTGCAGATTTGCATGAGGGATTGGTGCTGTATAACTTGTCCTTTTAAAATGAATATAAGTGAAATATTTTAATTGATTTAGGGAAACATGTGAAGAGAACCACAGTAGCACAGATGATAAACTACTATGGAAAACACCAAGTGGGTTTGGATCAGCCGCAGGAGGGGAAGCCGAATGACAGCATTATCCTTGCATACTTTCCATGATCATTATGGGGAGGTTCTCATGAGGATGGGGTGGACCCTCATGTTTTCTTGCATGTGTGCTTGTCTGTCTCTGAATGTCTGTGGGCCAGAGGACAACCTTGGGTGTTATTCCTCAGGTGCTGTTCTGTTATTTATTTATTTTAAAAATTTTTATTGAGTTTTTGTGTATTTAATACAGAACATCTTTTTTTTTTGTCTTTTTGAGACAGGGTCTCTCTGTAGCCCCAGCTGTCCTGGAACTCACTATGTAGACCAGGCTGGCCTTGAACTCACAAAGATCCACCTGCCTCTGCCTCCTGAGTGCTGGGATTAAAGCATGTGCCACCACACTTGGCCATACAGAACATCTTAACCATCTTCATACTCTCTTCCCCATTGGCCCCTCCCATAGCCCCAGAAGTGGAATTTGTACATTCTGTCATTTGCATTAAGGCCTATCATGCCAAGTTAGTATCCCCAGTTGTCCCTTAGTACAAGTTCATCCACTGAGATCTAGTCAGCCTAGCTAGAATCCCTCCCTTTAAGAAGGTCAGCTCTTCCTCATCAGGCAGTAATCAGCTGCCAATAATTCTTAGACTAAGATCAGGGCCTTCTGTCTGTTTCCTCAGTTCTGTGATGGGTTTTTGTCTGCTTGAGTTTGCATGGGTCTTGGGCATTGCTTACACCACAGCTGTAGGTTCGTATGAGGAGAGTCCCAGGAGCCTGTAGGACTATTTCCATATGGTCATGCACCTCCTCCTTGGCTCTTACAGTTTTTCTTTCCCCTCTTCTGCAATGGTCCCTAAGTCCTGGGTGGCTGGATTTTAATATAGGAGTCCTGTCCAAGGTCCCACACTCCATAGGCTCTTACTCTCTATGTTTTGGTCACTTGTGACCTTGTGTGTTCCTCCCTCTGTTGCATGAGGGAGCTTTGTTGATGAGAATTGAAAGATGCATTAGTGTTCTCTTCATCCCTTGTTCCAGTGTTCATAAGCCTTAGGTGTAAAGGTTGCATTGTAGATGTGCCACTTAGACTTGGGCAATTCACAGATAATCTGTGTGTGTGACAAGTTGTGGAACTCTGTACTAATCTCTGTTGAAAAAGAAGTTTCTTTGATAGGTGACGACTGGGATACTTGTCTATGGATTTAAGGATCCATATTTTGCACAAAGTAGGAAATTATACTTGTCTAGGGATGTGACAGCCTTGAGGTTTTCTCTAAGATCTATAACCTCTCCAGCTGTGTGTATTTGTCTAGGTTTACAGTACCAGACATGAGTTTCCTCCCATTGAGGGGGCTTTAAGTCCAATTACGTAGATGTTGATTGTCCTCAAGATAAAAGTGCTACTACTGCACCAATGTGGTTTGCTGTGCTGGCCATTGATGTGTTTTTAGGCCTTGAAGCTGGAGTTGAACTATTGATTGATGTTCTCCCTTACCAGCTTGCATAGTACTCTCCAAAGCTATGAGAGCTAGCCTTCAGGGGAGGTGGCTTCCAGGTCAGTTCCAGCTCCATTGCTCCAAATCCTGTGTCTGAAGTGTGTCCTGCCATCAGCAATAGGGTCTTACCTTCAAGTTCTGGGAGGCAATCAAGGGCTGTGGCAATTTCTTGTGTAACTTTGGGAGTCTCTTGGACTACCCTGGCCAACAACTCCAAGGAAGGTGTCTCCTTCTGGCACGGTTTCTTGTTATGTAGCCTTCAGCTATACACATGGACTCATGTAGGGATGTTGTATGTGTAATTGTTCAGTAGGTTTTTGGACTAATATAGTTCCCTCCGGTTTTTTAATACTAGTTAGGCACTATTTATCTCTCCTCTCTCTCTCCCTGTCTTATCCTCCTTCCCCACCCTCTCCATTTAAAGTGTCCCCATTTTCCCCATTTCTCCCTTGAAAATTCCTCTCTGCTGTGGTCCCACCTCTCTTGAGTTCCTTCTTCCCTTTAACCCCATAGTTTTTCCTTGTTTAGCCCTCCTTCTCCCTTTCCATTTAACTACCCCCATTTTACACATTTCTCCCTTAGTGATACCTGTCTCCTACTATTCTTCTCTCTTGGTTCCTTCTTTCCCTTTACCTCCCTGGTTCTCTTCCATTTTCCTGGTTCCTGCAGTTACATCAGAATATATACTTACATATAAGGCTTTGGTGCTAGGATCCAGAAATGAGGGAGAACATGCGTCTTTGTTTTTTTTTTGTGTGTCTGTGTTACTTCACTTAGTATAACAGTTTCTAGATACAGCCATTTACCTGCAAATTTCATTATTTCATTTTTCTTTACTGCTGAGTAAAACTCCATTTTGTAAATGTACCACATTTTCATTAATCACTCATCAGTTGAGGGGCACTTAGGTTGCTTCTATCTCTTAGCTATTGTGAAAAGAGCAGCAAATATGGATGTGCAAGTGTCTCTGTCATAGGATGAGTCCTTTGGGTATATGTGGAGTGGTATAACTGGGTCATAAGGTAGGTTCATTTTTAGTTTTTTCAGAGTTCTCCACACTGCTTTCCATAGGGGTGGCATGAGTTTGCAATCCCACCAGCAGTGAATGAGCTTTCTGCTTTCTCCACATTCTTGCCAGCATTTGGTATCATTTGTTCTCTTGATCTTACCCAGTCTGACTGGTATAAGATGAAAGTGGTTTTAATTTGCGTTTCCCTAATTACTAGCGATGTTGCACACTTTTTAAGGTGTTTCTTAGCCATCCTTACTTCTTCTTTTGAGGACTCTTTGTTTAGCTCTTTACCCCATCTTTTAATTGGGTCGTTTGTTTTCTTGATCCTTGCATTATTTATTTTTGAATTAAAAATTACATTTATTTGTGTGGACATGTATGTGTGCATGTGTGTGTGCATATGTGCCATAGTGTACATACAGAGGTCAGAGAACAGCTTTCAGGAGTCAGTCCTCTCCTTCTACCATGTGAATCCTGGGGACTCAATTCAGGTTGTCAGGGTTGGTGGCAGGTGCCTTTACTAGCTGAATCATCTCACTGACCCCACCTCTTTCTTGATGGAGTCTCTCACTGATCTAGAGCTTACCAAGTGGGCTAGATTGGTTGTCAAGGGAGCCCCAGGGACCAACCTGTCTCCACCACCCTGGTGCTAGGATACTGACTGAGCTATCTCTCTCCAGCCTTTGCTTTTTAAATGTTTTTGAAATAGTGTCTTGCTATATAGCCCGATTTGCTCAAACTCAGTTCAAGCATACCACCTGGCTCAACCTCCTGAGTGGTAGGATTATAGGCACATGTGCTACTCTTGGTTTAATGCTGGTATTCTTACTTGCTGGAATATGGGGACACATTCTGTTCACCACACCTCTATGAGGCACATAAACCAGGTTGGACACCCAGAACGCTTCTGTAGCCTGGACAGTCCCAGCACAGTGGAGGCCCAATTGCTCTTTGGGGGAAATCAACAGCTCCCTCTAGGCTGCTGTATTAATCACTTTCTTGTTGCTGTGATAAAATACCTGACAGAAGTGACTAAGGGAGGAGAGGTTTATTTTGGCACATGGTTTGGTTGGTCCAGTCCAGCACAGCAGCTGGAACCACTAGGTCCCTGTTAGTGTCAGACAGGAAGCAGAGAGGGGGCCAGAAGCAGGGCCAGGCTTTGCTCCCCAAGGCCTGCTAGTACTGTACTTCCAGTAGCCTACTTGCACCAGGGAGGCCCCATGTCTCAATGTTTCCAGTCTCCCAGGACAGCACCGTCACCTGGGAGCCAAGTATCAAACACAGGAGATTGTGGGGGATGTCTCTGACTTGAACCATCATAGCCATTGCACAGTTCCTTTTTCCCCTCTCGGGTGCTCTGTGTGGGGGGCAGAGTGGTCTTGGTGCTTCCTAAGAACTTCCCTTTTGTCTTGTTTGCAGTGTAGTTGAGGTAGCTTTCTTTTTCAGCCTTTGTCTGGTCCAGAAATTCCTCTTGATCAATTATGTCATGATGAACTCCAGGTTAGGTGTGCCTGGGGTCTGGAGATTCTTTGATGAAGGGGTTATAGCATAGTGCCTTCATGGGCCAGGAAGGTGACTTAAAGGTGTACAGAAGGCTGGGCAGGCCCGAGCTGAGCTGCAGAGCTCTGTCTAGATGAGGGGGCCGTTTCTCATCACGGGCACATTAATGCAGTGTGACCATGTGGGCCCAGTGTTGCTGGATCTTTCTTGCTTTTCAGAGGCAGCCAGAAATCTTTATTTTCATGTGAAATCTCCCGATAATTACACGTTGGCAGCCAATTTGAATTTATTTTTGAAAGTATCATAGGCCTAGGAATTCAATCTGGCCTGAGGGTCAGAGTCAGCAGTAGTGGAAAATAGATAACAATTTTTGTAATACAGACTCTCTGTTAATGGTAGATGTGAGCCAGCCTGGCACCTCCTTATGTGTGTGTGCACATGTGCATGTATGTTGAGGTGGGTGAGGCTGGTTTTTGGAGGACAGGTGAGCTAGGTTCAAAGGGGAGAAGTGGCACAGTGCAGATGGAAGTGCAGGGATGGCTGCTTCTTTCCAGGAGCAGGCAGCAGACCTTCATTCTGCTGGGAGGAGAAGGTCAGGGCTGAGGCTGGAGAGGTGGGCAGGACTCAGAGCTTGAAACCATTGATGTGTTCAGGCTTGAACCATGTTCTGGCGGGACAAGCAGGGAAGGGCTGTAAGCAAAGGAATCCATTTCAGGAGGCATTTACCTGGACAGGAGAGAAGAGTGACCTTGAGACAAGGAAAGGATAAAGGCACAGAGCATATGGAGTCCCAGATTCTTTGGGGGCACCCCAAAATAAACAGGAGTTAGTCACCAAGTCTTTTGAAGCTGAGTGGCTTCAGAAAACACCTTGTTCACAGCCCGGAAAAACTGTGCCCAGCAGGATTCCTTGTTGTCTATGGCAGACATCACTAATAGATGGCTGCACTTTCCCTCCTCTGAAACCTAACAGGATTCATAGAGTGTTCAGTCATACCAAAGGACAAGAATTGGTCTCGGAGGTGTCTTCCCTAAGTCATCCTAAAGCTAGTTCAAAAGTCCACAAAGGCAGTGTAACTTGCCCGAGATCACACAGCTTGTACATGTTCTGACGATTCAGGTGTTGACATTTAGGCTCGTGCTTTCTTCACTGAGCATTTCCTGTTGGAAGGCATCTTTGCATTAAACACAAAATCAAGTCTCCCCTCCTATACTAAAGTACTTCGAGGCAAAAGTCGAAGTGTGGAGCTAGAATGTCTTTAATGCCTCCACAACACTCAAAATAATCTCCCACACTTTCTTTTTTGAGTTCAGATGTTGTTGGCCAACAACTCAAACGGGGATTCAAATATATTTTCTTTTGGCTTCTATTTCATGCTTCCTTATGACCACGGTAAGCGAGTATGACAAAGTTGTGCAGTTCTGGGCAGATAACTGAGGTCTGGGAACTCTGGGGAGGGTTCCCTGAGGGCTTTGCCCCTGTTCCTCCGACAGGAGCTGTCTACAGAGCAGATCGCCTCCTTGGGTCCCCAGAATGCTGCCGTGGTAACCCATGCCCAGCGTCTGCAGCTCAGCTCAGCACAGCTGCAGAGCCTCGAGTGGGCACTAGATGGCGCCAAGAGTCACTCCTGGCACGACGCACCTGCCAGCGCCAGTCCCACCAGTCCATCCTGCGCTGGGTTCCAGACAGGTGAGCACAGCGGCTCCCCGTTACCCAGAACCCCGTTTCTGAGGTCACAGGTGGCCAGAGATGGCACTTGCAAACAGGAGCCACACCCTCTGATAAATTATATAAAGTTTTCATTGAAATATAGAATGCATACAGCATTTCATATGAGAAGATGATACAGAAAATGGGTAAAGCACATGGTTTTAAACATATAAGGACTTTATGTAATGAGACCTTTCTTCTTTATCCTGTCTCCCAGCCCTCCAGTTCCTTTCTCTAGAGGCAACCAGCATTGCCAGCCTCTGTTGTGTTTGTTCAGATAGTCGGCACATACATAAACAAGTCAATATACACCAGCCCTGCACTTTTACAAAGGCTCTTGTACACTTGGGTCTGTGCCCTGCATTTTAGACCCGATGATACCCCTCAGAGGCCATCCATGCCCATACATGGGTGCTGAGCAGTGGCTGGTTATGTGGCTGAACCTCAGGTGTCTAACCAGATCTTTATAGATGCACAGTTCAGTTCTTGTCTTTTCTGTTACAAATAATACAGTAGCCAGTGACCTTGAAAAATCTGAACCTGTTCAAGTACAACTTCCAAGTAGTATGTGCATTTTTAAGTTCAAAAGACATAGTCAAATCCGTTTTCCCTTGAACCATCAAGTGTTAGAAAGGGACAGGGCAAGACCCTAGCTGCCCTTCTTCCATTACTCCACCGGCCCCTAAAAGGGCTGCCATTTGGTGAACCCTTCCTAAGGACCTGACCTTCCTCTCCTATTTCCTAAACATGCTTAGTTATAATCACTTGGGAGTGATACTTCACATACAGGTTCCTGGTCCTCCTCCCAGAGTCAGCAGCTCCACAGGGAACATCCAGGCACCTGCAGTTTGGACAAGCTTCCTGTGACTCCTTTGGTTAAGGCAGGTCTGGCACATGCTGAAGTCATACTGTCTCATTTCTTTCTACTTTCTCTTCATCACTCCCACTTAAGGGATGAAGAAATGGAGGTTTTCAGGTGAGAGGAGAGGAGAGGAGAGGGGAGAGAGAGAAAGAGAGAGAGAGAGAGAGAGAGATTGAGGGAGAGAGAGATTGAGGGAGAGGGAGAGAGAGAGGGAGACTGAGGGAGTCAGGCATGATGCACCCACTTCTGTCTTTGTGGTGACCTCATGCTCCTTTTTGTCTTGTGTTTGTTTTCAGGAGCGCCCACCTCCTGGGGTCTTTGGGTTGGCTTCTCTCTGCTGCTTCTGATGGCTGAGTCCTTATGCTGAGTGGCCCATTCGGTATCCCAAGAAGCTGGAAAATGTGTATAGAAACAGAGGCTGCTTCAGGCTGTGGGAGACTTTTACCTAGACTTAGAACTTCTGCCAGAGCAGGGAGACTTCAGAGCCTTGATCTGTAAAAGGCACCCAGAGGAAAATAATTATTAAAAACAATCCTGCAAATTCTTCAGGCAACCTATTTCTCCTAGCAGGTACCCTTTCTAGTCCCATTTTGGCTTGGAGACAGGGAAGCTGTGGGGAGGAAAGGATGAGGAGAGAGATATAGAGAGGAGGGAGGGAGGGAAGGAGAAAGGGAGGGAGAGGGAAGGAAGAAGAGGGAGGGAGGGAGGCAGAGAGAGAGAAAGAGAGGGAGAGAGAGGGAGAGCCAGAGAGAGAGAATAAGTGTTATACAACGAACCTTAGAGATAAGAGGGAAAGAGGGAGAGAGGAGGGAGGGAAAGAGGGAGAGAGGAGGGAGGGGGGCTTTTTAGTCAGCATGTGCTCTGATTTCCAGTCTGGCTTGGTTTCCTCTCTGTGTCGCTCCAGGTTGCATTAGATTTCTCCTTCTACACTTAGACCAGCTGAAATAAATGAATCTCTCAACAGAAGCCAATATTCCTGCCTGATTGCTGTGACTAATTGATGTTTTGGTGGGCATCACATTGCTTGGAAATTAAAACATTTAACATGGCTCAACGTTAAATCAATTTTTAAATACATTTTCCAGATGCTTCCTTTTCCTTGGGAATCAGCTGAACAATGGTGGGGTTATCATTTAACCTTTCAAACTGTTCTTTTAGGGGGAGGTAGAGGGTGTGGCTCTTCTAGTTTTAAGTTGCTCTGGGCTTTGGTGAATGGGTTGAAATAAAAAGAAACAAAAATATATTGGATATGTCAATCACTTATGAGATTCTGGTTCAGTCCAGAAAATATCAGCCTCTCCCTGCCCCCTACCTGATCCTTCTGGGATGAAGGTACTTTTTTCTGGAAACTGCCAGGTCCCCTTGGTCTTAGGCTCAGGAAGTCAGAGTGATGGAAAGGGGGCAGCAGTAGTCTTTATCACCTCATAAGAGTCACTCCATCTCCAAGGCAGTCATCAAAGCCACTGGCGTTCTTCAGGCGGTAAGTAGGACTTCCTGTGTTCTTGGTGGTGTATCCTTTGTAGACATTCCCACCAGGAGATGGGAATAAAAGACTATGTGAACTTCCAAAAATCTGTGGCTGTTTCCTAAGAGGCAGGAGGATTCTACAAAATAGCATTGCAGAGACTGGCGACAGCCATCACCTGTGGTTATTAGGAAAATTAAAAGACTGCAATGTGGCAGATGTGCCCTTATGGCCCTTTCGGGCTCCCATTTGCTTTTCTTTCATCCTGGTATGGAAGCAGCAGCAAATGTTGCTTTCCAAGCACAGATCACGTCTGTTCTGAACAACAGCAGTCCCCGGTGTCAGACCAGCTGTACAGAGAAGGGTGCTGGATTGAGTGGGTGACTGAGCAGAGCCCCTGAAGGAAGGCCGTGGTGCTCCTTGGTATTCTCCCTTCTATTGCCTTGGTTACACTGGAAAACTAAAGGCAAACAATAATAATAAAAAAACTCTTCTAGTATGTGTGCACATATGTGTGTGTATGCATGTGTATATGAGTGTGTGTGCATGTATGTGCACATGCATATGGAGGCTAGAAGTCAACCTTGGGTGTCTTCGTCAGTCACTCTCAAATGTGTATTTTTGAGACAGGGTTTCTCATTTTTAACCTGGAACTCAATCACCAGTTCAGCCAGGCTGATTAGTGAGCCCCAGAAATTTGTCTGTCTCTGCCTCCCAGTGCTGGGATTATAAGTGTGGGTTCTGGGGATTGAACATGGGTTCTTGTGCTTGCAGGACAAGCAGTTTATTGACAGAGTCATCTCCCCAGCCCACTTTTTTAAATGAAACCTTTTTGAGATAGAATTTCACTGTGTAGCCCAGGCTGGCCTCAACCTCCCAAAGCCTTCTGCCTCAGCCTCTGGAGTGCTGGCATCGCAGGTGTGCGCCACCATATCCAGCCCACGAAATTCTTTTTTGAGTCAAACTTCATGCTGTAAACTTCTGGCTTTCATGTGTTTTCATTTTGTTCATTGGTTTCTGACCTTCCTGACACCCCGCCCACCTGGATAATCACAATGTCTTGAAAGATGGAGGAGAGCTGACTGTGAAAGCCACTGGAGGGCCATTACTGTATCAATAGCTTTATTTCACAGTCATCAGGACCTTGTTGGGCAGATCTTGCCCTGACTCCCTTTTCCACATGAGGGGACTGAGCCCCAGAGATGTTGAGGAGCTCTGTCTCAGGCCTCCCACCTGGTAGGGACTTGAATCCTGACTTCCTGTCTGTGCAGTGCTGCCTCCTGGACCAGTGCCTTTAACTCCTCTAATAAGTTAGATCAGAGAGAGATCCTATAAATCCCTTCACCTCCTCTTCTGGCAGGAAGCCAGCTTGCCTCACAGCACATATAATTGGTGACTGCCTGAGGCAGAAAGACAAATCTAGCTTGTGCCCTGCAGGACCCCCAGGGTGTCAGGCTGAACCGCCCAGTCCCTTGCATGCAGGGAAATGGCAGGTCATGCTGGCAGGTGCTGCCCCATTCACTTTTCAATGTCAGCCCTCCCTATGGATTCCCACCCTTCATTTTCTCAGCAGCTTCCTCAGTTGGACTTGGGATCAAGGTCATTTGTGCTCCTGTGACAGTGCTGCTGGCTATGGTTCTGATTAGGCAGTACCTGTGCCTTCCTGGCTATTAACTGTTTTGAATACCATCCCAGTGATGTTCTTTTTGTAAAAGCCCCATCTTTAAGCCACTCCGATGCTAGGCCTGGTTTGATGGGGGCCGGAAGTCTTTCTGAAACTTTAGCTCACCACTCATTGGATTCTGAACTTGGTTATTTGTATGCGTTCTGCTATCCGGGGGTTCAGCCGCAGTTAATGGTGGTGAGCTGTACTGCCAAAGAGAGGTTCTCTCTCCGTGTGAGTGTGTGAGAGTGTTATGTGAAAGGCAGAGGCAGAGACAGAGAGGGAGGAAGGAGAAAGGAGGGAGAGAGGGAGGGAGGGAGGGGGGAGAGAGAGAGAGAGAGAGAGAGGAAGAAAGAGAGAAATTACTTGCATAAAACTGAACTTAGAAATTTCAGCCAAGCAAATGTTGGGAAACTTCAGCTCCACAGGCTAGAAGAGGGAGATAAGCACATACATTCACACATAGGCTAATGATTCATAGTGTGGAGCAAATGGAATCTGAAGGGAAGAATTTAGAGCTCTGACTAGTGTGGGTTCTGGAGAACAAGTTCTAATTAAGAATCAGGTGGTTTGGGAGAGCCTTACTGATGATGATGGATCCTAGTCTTGAAGGAGAGAGGGAGGACATGGATAGATTTAGAGAAGAATCCAGATAGAAGGATGAGCAAGAAAAACCCTAGAGGAAGTATGTTTGAAGACCAGCAAGGTCAGGCTAGGAAGTAGGGAGGGGGAATTGGGCAAGCTGGGGGAGGAGGATGAAATGTGATGGGGCAGATCAACAGAGCTGGGGCATGTCATGGGACTTGGCCTTGCAGCTCTGAATGAGATGGAAGCAGGAGGTGGAACATACATGAGGTCTTTCCCTTTGCTGCTTTCCTCCTATGATGCCAGGGCAAGTCAGGAGAAGTAGCAGTGGCTGCTGAGACACCCCCCACCCTGGTTCTGTACCAACTTTTCTGTGTACTGCCTGGCTTCCCTTCATTTGAGAAGTTGATCATTTTGGGTTGAATGAACATTGTCCTAGTGATTTGATTCAGCCTTTTGTTAGAGAAAGAGAGAGAGGAGAGAGAGAGAGAGAGAGAGAGAGAGAGAGAGAGAGAGAGAGAGAGAGAGAGAGATTTTGATTCTTTTGATTCTTTTTTCCTGGTCATGTCAGTTTATGTCTCTGGGTTAGCTCTACTAGACTTGCATGAGGTACATGGCCATTTCTGACTTAACCTTTGCAGCTTGGGTAATAGAGATACAAATATATCAAGGCTAGAACCAATGACTAAATCCTACCAAACTGATGGAGCGGGAAAGGACTGATCTCAGGAGAGTCCTTGTGTGGCAAGGGGAAATTCTGAGATGACTCCAGACTCCTGTTTCCTGGTGTGCACAGTCTGTGCAAGAAGGCTGACAGAACCAGTGGATTTGATGGCATAGCCCTCTCATAAGCATACTACTCCTCAGTTGACTTGGAACTAATAAAAAAGAGATCATCTAGGTGAGTCTAATCCAATCAGTTGTGCCCGAAATCAGAGCTTTTCAGAACACAAGACACTCATGGAGGGGCAATGGCCCTATAATGGCCATAGTAGCCATCTTTCTATTGTTATGAAAAATAGTTGATAAAATCAATTTACAAGGAGGAAAGAATTACTTTGGTTCATGGTTTCAGAGATTCCAGCCCATTAGTGGCTGGCACCATTGTTTTAATACCTATGATGAGACAGAGCAGCATGGTGGAAGGATGTGGTGGAGTAGAGATGGAGCCCAGGGTCAAAAAGCATGCTTCAGTAACACACTGCTTCCAGGCTCTGCCTTTCACAGTTCCATACGTTCCATAGTCTGTTCAAGATTTGAGTCCATTTTATTAGGTTGGAAGCCCCATAATCTCTCTGAGATGTCCTCACAAACACACCCAGAGGTGTGTTTTACTAGTCTCCTGGGCCAATCTCAAACCAGTCAGGTTGACAGTCAGATTAACTATTAGAAGGACCTTGAGTTCCAAGTGGATTTCAGCTGAGGGGAGGCTTAAGGAGAGAATTTGCTTGGATTTCTGACCCACCCCACAGTGAAGTGACATGTTCCCATTGTCTTAAGTTGCTGCACTTCTGTATTTTTTACATAGCAATAGAAAAGTTAATACTCAGAGTGAGGAAGGATTGCTGCTGGTTGAAATGCATCAGCTCTAGAATTCAAGCTTACCTGGACCCTGTGACTGCCACTCTGAACCCTACCCTAGGAAGAAGTTTGGATGGGCCTCTGGTTTCAATCAGCTTCATCCTCTAGGCTCTTTGGCTTCTTGTGTGGCCTGTATGATTATCTTTTTTATTTATTTCCCTTTCAGTATATATTTTTATTGAATTTTTGTGTATTTCATACAATACATCTTAATCATATTTAGACCCTCTCCCCTGTCTGCACACCCCATAGCCCACCCACTGGATTTCCTGAATGGTTATTTATTTATTTATTTATTTTGAGACAGGGACTCCCTGTAGCCCCAGCTGGCCTGGAATTCACTATGTAGACCAGGCTGGCCTTGAACTCACAGAGATCTGCCTGCCTCTGCCTCCTGAGTGCTGGGATTAAAGGCGTGAGACACCACACCCAGCTGCCTGATCACAAACTGTCCAGCTTCTGTACCAGCAGAAGAGTTCGGTCATCTCAGTTTCACAGGGCCCTCTGCACACTAACCTTTGCCTTGAATTTGCACCTGATGTACTTGATACCCTGATGGATTACAGGGACCAAACTTAAAAAAAATTAATTTAAATTTTATTTTATGTATTTTTGTGTTTTGTCTGCTTGTATGTAAGTGCACCATGTGTGTGCAATGCCTGCAGAGGCCAGAAGAGGGTGTCTGATCTCCTGGAACTGGAATTATGGACTGTTGTTAGCTTCCATGTGGGTGCTGGGAGTCAAACCTGGGTCCTTTGCAGGAGTAGCCAGTGCTCTTAATTGCTGAACCGTCTCTTTAGCCCCCTAAACTTTTTTTTTTTTTCAGATGAATGATAAAGTAGCTGAGCAGTGCATGAA